TATATATATATATATATATATATATATATATATATATATATATACACCATAATCATTATTTAAGAAAACTCTCATTTCTAGATTTTAATTTTTTGAAAAGTCCCCTGCATTGTGCCTGGTGGTGGATAAAATTGCTCCCTCTACTCGCTCATCAGGATCCATCACTGCGCTGCCTTAGACAAGCCAGAAAAAAATTAAGAGGAATTAACAAAAATAACGTACCTCTATTCCTATGCACAGTGTCCAACAACACTGTTTACTTGGTTTACTTGCATTCCCTGTTCAACTCCAGTTCAGAAAAACACTCATCTCGAAAACTTCCAACATTCGCTTTTCAAATCGTTCAGCGACGGGAGATGCTGGCGTACCACTTGTTCATTTTTATAGCAGAATATTAAATTCAATACATTTGACTGTAAAGATTTGAATAAACTTGTGGCCTATTTATTTAGTTATTTTTATTTTTTTGAGGAAGACTTTGCTGAAATGACTGACAGTTTCTTTTTTGTATTATTCTGATTGACCTGTTCATTGTTGTATCATTTTTTTTTAACTTAAGACGTGTTTTCCTCTAAATCTCACACATCATTTAAATGTTGATTGTTTTGTTATAAATGATAACTGTTTTTAGTTCTGCTTGTCTTACAATCAGTGGTGCTACGGCCGAGGAAGGACCTGCATCTCATTCAGGATTGCTCGTAAAGTGGAATATGGCAACAATATTTTTAATAATGATCTTTTTGTTGATATGTACTGTTTTGTGATTGGTTAGTATCAAAATCAAATTCAAAACTAGACATTTGATTGCACAGCCCAACTAAAATAAAACAAAATAAAAAGCTATAAACTGACTCCCGGTACTTTGGTTCTTTTGTAACTCTGCTTGAGGCAATAACTTTCATTAACCACACTTCTCTCTGACCCAACCCAACTTTGTGTCCCTACAGAACCTGAACTTCACAGGTTTCCGAAAAATCCTCAAGAAGCATGATAAAATTTTGGAAACATCCAGGGGGGCCGACTGGAGGGTGGGCCACGTTGAAGTGGCTCCATTTTACACCTGCAAGAAGATCACACAGCTCATTTCTGAGACTGAGGTTAAATCACATGCACACACACAAACACACACGTCCACATCTTGAATGAACGACCGACAGTAATATCTCTCTTGTATCCTTCAGGCGTTGGTCACCACAGAGTTGGAAGGAGGAGACCGGCAGAAGGCCATGAAGAGGCTGAGGGTTCCTCCACTGGGAGCTGCACAAGTCAGTCAACACCCCCCCCCCCCCCTCCCACACACACACACACACTCTCTCTCACTTTCCATTCACTTCCATTGCTTGTTAATGCAGACAATTGTGTTTTTACCTGTTTGTTAAAGAAAGAAGGGCAGATAATAGAAAAATCTTGCAAATTGTGATACAACATTTGGTAAAATGATTCTCTTTGAAGTATTTGTCAAACGTGCCAGATTGACCATTTGAAAATCCAAGATGGCGACCTTTTTTCAAGATGAACTTATTTTTGCACAGTAACCATATGGTAATGCAGTGAATTGATCAGTTTGAATGATCTTTGTGTCAGTTTATATGTTTTGCTCTATCTTTAGCCTTGTACTGTGAAAGTAACACATGAGTGAGAGCACAGAAGAGTTTTTATGACAGTTGGTGGAAGAGAGGTCCATCGGGCCTACCATGTGTGTCCTTAATGAGTCCAACTCCAGGCAGTAGAACTTATTGTTTTTGTCAACCATTTTGAAAAGTGGCCGCCATCTTGTATTTTTAGATGGTCAATCAGGTATAATTGTTCAGAAGACTCTTGGGAACAACCATGCTACATTTCGTGCTTGCATCACATTTCGCACGAATCTTGTGCAAAATTGGTTTTAGCCGTTAAACTACAATGGTCAATGGAACAACTTAAAACCAACTAAAGTAGCCCAAAAATGTATTACAGATCAACTAATTGAAATCAGTCATTGCATTTGAATTTTGGTTGACCATCCATCCATTATCTTTTACTCGCTTCTTCCATTTTGGGTCACGAGGGTCGCCGGTGCCCATGTCCAGCAATCACTGTGCGAGGGGCAGGGGACACCCTGGAAAGGTCTCCAGTCCATCACAGGGACACATAGAGACAAACGAGACAAACAAACATTTACTCTCTCACTCACACCTAGGGACAATTTAGAGTTACCAATCAGCCTAACATGTATGTTTTTGGTCTGTGGGAGGAAACCGGAATACCTGGAGAAAACCCACGCATGCACAGAGAGAACATGCAAACTCCACCCAGGAAGGCCCCCGGACCGGGATTTGAACCAGGGACCTGCTCGCTGAAAGGCAGCAGCTCTTTGACCAGAATTATTAAAAAAAAACAATGAACCTGGCTACCTAAATGTATTGAGTTGCTGCCATGTTGCCATAGCTTATAAGTTGTAACTCAACAGGTGAATCTTGTGAAGTTGTCAGTGAGTGCACAGTATGAGTCCACAGTATGAGTCCACAGTATGAGTCCACAGTATGAGTCCACAGTATGAGTCCACAGTACACTCAGTGTATGTCACATTGCATGAGTCACAAAGTGCACGAGATGTGGAACATTGTTCTCTAATCACAGGTGTATTGAATCAGACAGAAGAGCTACTGAAGAACATGTTTATCACATGATAGTTACACTGCTCGTAGATCCATCTGTATCGTGAACATGTTGATTTTACTAACACAATGTGGATCTGTTCACAGCCTGCTCCTGCGTGGACCACCTTCAGAGTCGGACTTTACTGTGGAGTGTTTCTTGTCTTAATAGTCACTGTGGTCATTACAGGTAACACAAACATTAACATTTATATTGGAGTGACTCTGTTTTCACTTCCACCAACTTGAACCTTGTTCCTGAGGCAGAAATAGTTGAATTTTCTTTAACTTTGTAAAAATTTTTTGTTTGTTTTTTTTTTTTTTTGGGGGGGGGGGAGGGGGTTTAGTCACTGCACTAAGATTTGTTTTTACATATGAATAAAAAGCAACACTATTTGTTGAAGGTGTTCTTTGACAAGGTGTTCGCACATCTTTAAAAAAGTCTTAAATTCATGTATCTAAAACTAAGGCCATTAAAATGTTTTAAACTTGTTAAAAAATGTTTAAGTTGGTCTTAGATTTGTTACTCAAAGGTCTTAAATTTGTCGGACCAGGAGGGATTAAAGTTCTCCATCATGATGGCTTTCTGTCATTTTTAAAAATCAAAGAGAGAAAAACATTTTTTTGTTGTGACCTTTTTAAAGCCATCCAATCTAATGATCAGAGTCAGATTCTTTATTGTTGTTCCACCTCATGTGGTACATGTGGTGGAACGAAATTATGCACACAGGGTCCCAGTTACATCCAACAATAAAATGTAAAAGAAAAACAATGGTAACATCCAAGATATGAACTAAGAAAAACATCAACTAAAAATACTAATAGCACTAATAGCATCAAAACATTACGTCGAACATCAGCACAAACATGAGCATGAGTCTGTGTGAGTGGATGAGCACGCATGAACACATCAACATGAAACAGATCAGCAGCAACATTGAAACAGATCAGCAGCAACATGGTGTGATTTTTCACAGTGATTATTCTGGTTAGAAATTCATGAGTCTAACAGCCTCAGGGTAGAAGCTGTTCCTCAGTCTAGTGGTTCTACACTTAATGCTCCTCAACCTCCTTCCTGAGGGGAGTGGGGCAAAAAGTGTGTGTGCTGGGTGAGTGGGGTCCTTCATGATGCAGGTGGCTCTCTTTCTGCATCTGGAGGTGTAGATGTCTGTGATGGTGGGGTGGCTGACTCCAACAGTCTTCTGTGCAGCCTTCACCACTCTCTGCAAAGCTTTTCTTTCTGCAGCTGTGCAGCCTCCATGCCACACGTTGATGCTGGAGCACAGGATGCTCTCCACTGCACACCTGTAGAAGGAGGTGAGGACTGAGCTTCCCAGACCAGCTCGTCTCAGCCGTCTGAGGAAGTAGAGTCTCTGATGAGCTTTCTTGATCAGGCTGGTGGTGTTGTTGCTCCAGCTGAGGTTGTCATTCATGTGTACACCCAAGTACTTGTAGCTGGAGACCACTTCCACCGCAGATCCTCTTATGTTCAGGGGAGTGTAGGTGTTTTTGTTCCTTCTGAAGTCCACAATCATCTCCTTTGTCTTCTTCACATTGATGTGAAGGTTATTCTCTTTGCACTAGCTCTCCAGGTGTTCCACTTCTTGCCTGTAGCTGGACTCATCATTGTTTGTGATGCATCCCACCACCGCTGTATCATCTGCAAACTTTACAATGTGACAGCCTGGATGGGTAGCTGCACAATCATATGTGAGCAGAGTAAACAGGAGGGGGCTCAACACACATCCCTGAGGAGAGCCAGTGCTGAGGGTTATGGTGGAGAAGGAGAAGTTGTGGATCCTCACTGACTGTGGTCTGTTTGTTAAGAAGTCTAGTACCCAGTTGCAAATGGAGGGGCTTAGTCCTAATGTGATTAGTTTGTCCATCAGGGTTTGGGGGATCATGGTGTTAAAGGCAGATGTGAAGTCCACAAAGAGCATACAGACATAAGAGTTTTTCTGCTCCAGGTGGGTGAGGACAGTGTGGACCACAGAGGAGATTGCATCCTCTGTTGATCGGTTCTCACAGTATGCGTACTGATGAGGGTCCTCATTGATGTTTATGGAGGTTTTGATTTGAGTCATGACCAGTTTTTCGAAGCATTTAGCGACTATCGGGGTGAGGGCCACTGGCCGATAGTCATTCAGACCAGTCACTTTAGAGCTTTTTGGGACTGGGATGATGGTAGCAGTCTTCAGGCAGATGGGAACTGTCTCCAGGGTAACTGAGGTGTTAAAGATGTCTGCCAGCACCTCGCAGAGCTGATCGGCACATTCCTTCAACACTTTTCCGGGGATGTTGTCTGGGCCGGTTGCCTTGTGAAGGTTAATCCTCCTGAAAGTACTCCTTACTTCGGCTGAGGTCGCACTGAGATTCTCTTCATCCTGTGGTGAGGTGAGTCTGGTGCTGGGTGGTCTGTTCGGGTCTTCAAAGCGTGCATAGAACTTGTTGAGGGCATCAGGCAGAGCTGGGTCTTTGGGGCATTGTTCCCTCCTTCCTTTATAATCTGTTATGCACTTAATGCCCCTCCACATCCTCCGAGGGTCTTGTGAGGGGAATTGACCCTCGATCCTCTGTGCATATGTGGCCTTGGCCTTCTTAATACCAGCAATAGCTCTTTCCTTGTTCTACTCAGCTCCTCTGAGTTTCCAGACCTGAAGGCAGTGTTCCTGCCTAATAATGATACTGACGCTGCTTTCATCCAATAAAGAGTAGCAAAGCCACAGTTTGAGCCAATCAGAGCAGAGAAGGACAGGTCCTGTTGTTTGGTTCATGGTGAACCCGGGTCTGAGCAACGAGAGTGGAGGTGAAAGATTCTATCAGCGTTTCCAGTACTTCTTTTTCAAGGAGGACACATCTGTACTCTGAGAGATGAGACAGATGAAAGAAATGAGAGAGGATGAGAGAGAGAAATATGATGAGAAAGATGAGAGATAGATCATGAGAGATTATGAGAGAGAGAGAGATGATTAGAAAGATGATGAGCGAGAGATGAGAGAGATAGAGATTGGAGAGAGAGATGTGTTTATAAATGTGTTTGCAGGGTGGCTGTGGCTGAGTGGTTAGAGCAGTCGTCCTCCAATGCAAAAGTTGGTGGTTTGAATCCACCAGCAGTCACATGCCGAAGTGTCCCTGGGCAAGACACTGAACCCTTCATTGCCTTTGATGTGTGTCCCATTGGTGTATGAATGTGATTAATCACTGATTAGTCTCATTAGAATGATTTGTTCAATTAGCTTTGTAGAGATCTAGTAGAGTGCTGTATGAATGGGTAAATGTAGTGTAAAGAGCTTTGAGTGTCTTGATTAGATAGAAAGATGCTATATAAGTCCAGTCCATTTACACTGCATTGTGTATTTTTACTAAGGTCATGTACAAACTATACTGTGTACTTTTACTAAGGTCATGTACACACTATTCTGTGTATCTAAAAAAGTTAAGTCGAGACATCAAAAAACAAACAAAAAAAATTGTAGAAATGTTTCTAAAAATTTTTGCTTGTTTTTTTATGTCCCGAGGACCCGACTTTTTTTTAGATTTTTCTACCTGGATTATTGAGCATGCATCAGGATACTATTCTGTGTACTTTTACTAAGTTCATGTACACACTATTGGGTAAGCTCTAGGTGTAGAAAATATTTCAGTCAAAAGATTTGTTCCTGCTTTAATCCCTGAGAATATTTAATGACATTTTTCCCATGGGATGTGTGTAAGTCGACAGTTTTACTATGAGTCGTCTGCAAACTTTTACTGTGTTCTGAACTTGCATTTTCTTTTTTAAAGTCTTTGGTTCAAATTAACTGATTATTGAACGGAGAGCCCTGAATATCACTTTATGTTCAGTAAACAGACACAAACTACATTTGAATGTGTCTCATTGAGTGACACACATGTGATGCTTGGTTATAATACAACACAGTCCCCTAACCATAGATGTTTTGCTCTTAAATTTCATTCAGGATGGGATTGAAAAGCTCTTAAATTTGACTTATTGAATCCTGCAGATACCCTGTTTGATAAAAATTACAATATATTGTTCATTTCAGTCAGTAAACAAGCAGTAACTTGTTTTGACTTTTCTTTCATCTGATTTTGTGATGATGTTTTAATGTTTTTACCTCACTGTTTTGTTCTCTTCCCATTTTTTCCTGTATTTACAGGAGCTGTGACGATTAAAAGTTCTAAAATTTGGCCAATGGTTCGAATCTACAGAGGAGGCTTCCTGATAATAGAGTTCCTCTTCCTTTTAGGTATATACACAAACACACAGTTATTGCATGAGTTAGGGCCTGTTCACGCTCAGTGATCACTAGGGTTGGAATGTTTGGGTACCTTGTGAGAACTCACAGATGCTCAGCTTGGACCGAGGCTTTGACAGTATAATTTCCATGTCAGAGTATTTTTAGGTCAATGAAAATGGATAAAGTCAGGAGTAGTAAGAGGAAAGCAGATGCTGAGCAGCAGTTTCACCATGATGTTGGTTCAAATAGACATTATGTGGTCAGACTGATGGGGATGTTTTTGTGTCTTCATCAGGAATCAACACATATGGCTGGAGGCAGGCTGGAGTTAATCATGTTCTCATATTTGAGCTCAACCCCCGAAATAACCTGTCTCACCAGCATCTGTTTGAGGTCAGAACATGCACACATGCCATGTCAGAAGATTTTTTTTTTCAGAGGGATTAATAGACTTAATTTGACCCTGACAGGTGAAAGTTCACAGTGGCACCAAATGTGTGTGTGTGTGTGTGTGTGTGTGTGTGTGTGTGTGTGTGTGTGTATTTTAACAGATTGCAGGCCTGTTGGGGGTGCTGTGGTGCGTCAGCCTGCTTTCCTGTCTCTTCTATGAGAGCATCCTGGTTCCAATGCAGGCCAACCCTTTGGCTCTTTATGGCTTTTTTCTCCTGTTCCTCATCAATCCTTTCAAGACCTGCTATTACAAATCACGCTTCTGGCTGCTCAAACTCTTGGTAAAATTATGTTAACCAACTGTGTACTATATTCAACTATATGCATACACTGAACAAGAATATAAATGCAACACTTGTGTTTTTGCTCCAATTTTTCATGAGCTGAACTCAAAGACCTTAGACATTTTCTTTGTACGCAACAGGCCTTTCCTCTCAAATTTGTTCACAAATTTGTGTAAATCAGTGTTGGTGATCAGTACTTCTCTTTTACCAAGATAATCCATCCATCTCACGGGTGTGGCATATCAAGGTGCTGATTAGACAACATGATTATTGCATAGGTGTGCCTTAGGCTGACCACAATAAAAGGCCACTCTAAAATGTGCAGTTTTTCACAGCACAATGCCACAGATGTAGCAAATTTTGAGGGTGTGCTTTTGGCATGCTGACTGCAGCAATGTCCATGTTCAGAGAATTTGGCTGTACGTCCAACTGGTCTCACAATTATAGAGCACAAGTCACCTGCTCAAAATAAATACAATTATGATGTATGCCAAAAGTGAGCGAGACATTGACTCACTGATCCACCTCACCAAGATATACAGCAAGGACACTGAAATGTCATTCGGACTGGATAAATCCAAACAAATGGTATGCAAGCAGTGGTGGAGGAAGTACTCAAACATTGTACTTAAGTAAAAGTACAAATAAACAGACAAAAATGTACTTTAGTAAAAGTAGAAGTATCACATTAACATTTTACTTAAGTAAAAGTAAATAAGTACTTGTTTTTAAAAATACTTAAAGTATTAAAAGTACTTGCTGAATGTATTATCTAATGTAATGGCCTACATATCTTTAAGTCTGCGTACCATATGTATATTTTCTGTAATACATTAATAGTGTTGAGCCATTTTAATGAACAATGCTGCAGATAATGCATGTTTTTATTGTGTTTACTCTGTGACACAGTTCACTCTTGGACTTGTGATTCTGTTCGTCAGAATTTCAGGGATGACATGCAGAGTTAAATGCCATTAATCAAAATAAGAAAGAGGAATGATTATACCTTTTAAAAGTTTTTATTTAACACAAAGTAAAACCAATGTGTCATTTTATCTGCAGTAAAAACATTTAAGTAAAAGTTGTCTGTCTGAAAAAAGGAGCATTAGTCACAACTAACAAAGGAATAGGCTCTGATAATTTCCACTGACATTTCAACTCCAGTTTGTCATCAACACTAGTTAAAATAATGTCTATTCAACCTTGTAATGGGTCAATATTGAACAATATTTTAACTTACCGACACCGTTTTCAAAACGACCCGATTGTCGAGACATTTGGAGACATCTCTTGTCCTAACATCCCATGAACTGACACATTTTAATATTGCAGCAAGAATTTCTTGTTCAAGTTCAGAAAAAGTTGGTTTTCAAAGTTTTTTGAGTCTATTCTGGCTCTTTTGGGAGAGAGAATCTGTCCTGTTGTACTGAAAACTCAATAATCTTTCAGTAAGGCCATAGGTGGTGCGCATCTTCTGGCTGACTCTGCGGTGTAGTCCATTTTGGGTGTCTTAGTGGTGCTGTGGGTGCGCCCAGCTCAATGACGTATATACTAGAATTAGGGATGAACAATATTATCGGCATGGTATCTGTATCGGTCAATATTAGCGATAAAGTTAAATATCGGACATTGGCCATTTCATCAAAATAACTCACCGATATAAAAGGCACTGTTTATACATAACTAACTATATATATATATATATATATATATATATATATATATA